CACTTGGCAAATATTATTTTTAAAACCCCAGTTGTTCTTAGTGGTCTGCATACTTATGTTAATTTTGATCTATTTTACTATTGTCTTAAAAATTCCTTTGAGTGCTAAAATAATGTAGTTCTCTGAGATGTTTTATGAAATGCTTCTAGATAAAAAATGGGAGACTTAGTTATATATAGAACAAGTTGACAAATTATTGAAAGAGGCTCAAATTATTTGTTTGGGTTTTTTTCCCACTTAGTTGATAATCTGTACTCATGCAACTATGTTTCTAATTTTAAAGATTTAAGCAAGATTCTCAGACCCCTTAAAATAAATCATCAGAAATTCTCAGGAAGGATAAAAATCTATAATAGATGTGTAAAAATAGCCTCTATTTATAGTGTAATGACTTCTAGGCAAAATTAGATAAAAGTTCATCTTAATATTCCCATAGAATTTTAAGATTGCCATTTAGTGTATTCTCAAGGAAAATTGGTTGTCGATTTTTGGTGAAGAAGTCCCTGTTTGGGTTTTTTTCCCCCTCTTTATTTTATTTTTTGTGTGTGTGTGAGGAAGATCAGCCCTGAGCTAACATCCATGCTAATCCTCCTCTTTTTGCTGAAGAACACTGGCCCTGAGCTAGCATCTATTGCCAATCCTCCTCCTCTTATTTTTTCCCCAAAGCCCCAGTAGATAGTTGTATGTCACAGTTGCACAGCCTTCTAGTTGCTGTATGTGGGACGCGGCCTCAGCATGGCCGGAGAAGCAGTGTGTAGGTGCGCGCCTGGGATCAGAACCCGGGCCGCCAGTAGCAGAGCTCGCACACTTAACCGCTCAGCCACGGGGCCGGCCCTCCACTCCCTTTATTTATGCTTTGCTATAAATAAGCTGTCAGCCTTTTTACAATGAGTTTTTACAAATTATTTTTGAAAATCAAAATGGTAGCAGCTGTGACTTATGCAAGTTGGTTATTGTGTTTGAGTTGTGTTAGACTTACTGAGATTCAGAGACCCAATTTGAATTCTCACCTTTCTTTTAAGTCATTGGATGTTCTTTTATTCCTGGGGAGATGCTAACTGCTTGTTAAGGATATATACACACGCTTTGTTTTTGGAAAGCATACTCATGGATTCATTCAACACGTGGCTATTGAACAAGTCATTATGCTAGGTTGTCAGATGCTAAAGATAGAGCACTGAAAAAGCGTTTTGTCACTGCTTTTAGAATAAGCCTCAATATAATATTACTTGTGATCAAGTACTATTAAAGAAGCATATACGTAGTTCATAAAAACATATGTAAATATGGAGGGGATTTGATTTAACCTAGAGTAAGGGGTGGTCGGGGAAGGTGTCCCTGAGGAAGTGACTTGATTTGATCTTTGAAGGATGACTGGACATTAACTAGGCGAAAAACGTTGATAGAATGGCATCTTAAATAGAGGGAACAGCATGTATGAAGGACCTGAGTGGCAAGAAGCGTGGCATGTTTGAGAATGGAAAATATTAGAGTGACAAGCAATTAGGTTCAAAGAGTGGGTTAGGACCATATAAGTGGGACCTCATATAGCTCACAGTGATTTTCACCTTTATCCTAAAGGCTGTAGTAAGCTATTAAAGAGTTTTAAACAGGGTTATGACATATAATATTTCATTGAATCTCACACTCCAATTGTACACATTCTTAATTTCAGAGATGTTAAAAATGTGGAAAACAGTATTTCTAAGAATTAATTAAGTGGACATACCTTAGAATTGATTAAATTGGCATTAAAAATTTTCTGGCTATCTATGGATAAAGTGGAAAACACATTGTAAAAGGGTAAGATTAGATGTGTGGAAATGACTTAGTAGATTATTGCAGGAATTCAGAAGAGATTGTGTTGGCTTGAAATAGGATGGTAGTAGTTGAGCAAGACATATGTAAATTACTTTAAGTTTTCAGCAGAAAGAATTTACAGGCCTTGAACACTTCGAAAACTTGGAATTTTAGATATGATAGAAACAATCTTTAAGTAGGTTTTAAATTATAATTAAAATTTAAGTAACAAGGTAGAATGATTTATGCTACAATCTTAGTTCATATCTAGTGATAATTTCTGTCTAAAGTTATATACCAGTTAAGAGAAAACATTTCACAATTGAAGATTCAATGTCTTTTAAACTATATAAGGATTTTGTGAAAGCCCTATACAGAAAATTATTCAGAGTTAAAGTTAACTTGCTATTTGTACAACAGTGATTGTATTTACATAATTTATATTTGTTATTACTATTAAGCACTATACTACCTTATCCTGTATAATGTGTATTCCGAGATTCAATTATAATGGTCTACTGTAATGGTGTATTTACCCAGCAGTTCTAAACTATCAGTGAATAAACAAATTTAAATAAATAAATTTAGGGGCCAGCCCCGTGGCTTAGCGGTTAAGTGCGCGCGCTCCCTGGCGGCCCGGGTTCAGATCCCGGGCGTGCACCGACGCCCTGCTTGTCGGGCCATGTTGAGGCGGCAGTCCCACATACAGCAACTAGAAAGGATGTGCAATTATAACATACAACTATGTACTGGGGCTTTGGGGAGAAAAAGGGAAAAAAAAGAGGAGGATTGGCAATAGATGTTAGCTCAGGGTGGTCTTTCTCAGCAAAAAGAGGAGGATTAGCATGGATGTTGGCTCAGAGTTGATCTTCCTCACAAAATAAATAAATGAATGAATGAATGAATAAATAAATAAATAAATTTAAATTTCGTAGCTCACTTTTTATTAAAGTTATGAGTCTCCTCACCTTTAATCTATATCCTATATTTCCAAGTTTGCCTTTAGCACTTTTTACAGATTCTTGTGGTCTTAAGCATTTTTAGTATTATATGACTAGAACTGTGATCTCACTTAATCCTCAGGGTAACCTGCTAATATGGGTTCTCTTCTTACATGGATAACTCTAGCCTGTGCACACTTGTGCGCGCAGCATTGGGTCTTTTGTGATATACCCTCAAAGCACCCAATTTTTTTCTCTTCATTATACTTAATAAAATTAATGCCTCTTCCTCTTACACTGTGAAGTCTAGGATAGCAGGAACTTTGTCTCTGATGTTCACCGTATTCTGTTGTCTGACATAGGGTGCCCAAATATTTGTTAAACTTTAAGCAAACATTTATGAAGATGTACAATATTTGCTAAAACTAAAATGAGTGTTGCATGCTACAGATGACAGAGTACTTATCAAAACAATCACATAAGTAGACTATATATTAAAATATAAAAATTATATGTCACTTAATGGTAGGTAGAATATCATAATTCATTTGGTTCATGTGATTACAGTCTTCTAATTGTCTTGAGACTGGACTAACTTTTCACAATTTCTTTAAAATAAATTTTCTTAATTCGACTATAGTAAGGTTCACTAATGTGTAAGGGAGACAACAAGTGATCTAGATTTTTCTTCTGTTTTCTATATAAATTTTCCTTAAATGACCACCATTTAAGAATGTATAATAAACAAAATTAAAAAAAAAATATGTTGGGAAATCCTATTGTCAGTAAATGGAAAACCAAACAAACTGAAAACTCTTCCCACTATAAAACACCAGATATTTTGAACATTTTAATTAAAAGGACTGCAAAAACCTATCCTTTTAAATGCATAGCTGAACTTATAAGAATGTAAGGATAATCTCCAAGGTCTAAAAACTAAGAAGAAACTAAAACCCAGAGTGGGAAAAGTGTGAATTGACACTAGGGCTTTTCTGGGACAGTTGCCAATCTTAACTAAGAGGCATGGATTAACCATCTATCTGAGGATAGATGAAATCTCAAGCCCAAGCAGATATTGGAACTGAGATCCAATAAAGTTGTTTCTTGAAGAGCTATACATTTAATGAAAAGACAGACTAGAGAAGAATTCAGTTTCTGAAACAGACAAGACAATCTTCTCCAGATCAGCTGAAAAAAAAGTTTACCCTGAGAATTCATAATCAAGGACCTGTATTCATACATGTGTGAGATTCAAATTTGAACTGATTGCATCGAGTCATGGCCAAGACTAGTAATATCCCTCGGGCACTAGGCCTAAACAAACTTGGAGCCTGTCTACAGGGATACACCCACAACTGAGGATATTCCAAGAGACAAATCACAGTTTAAGATAACCATATTATCCAATAGTGGAAATCACATGAAGAAGCAAATCACCGTGAGTAAATGTCAGCAGCCAAAACAATAGGCAAAATTAAATCCCCAGTAACTCAGATAAAGGTGGTATTGAATTGAGCCTCTAAGTTACTTTCAAAGAGTTAAAGGACTAAAAACTAAAACAACAAAAAACATCAAGATGGTGTTGTAGGGGGTAGTGAATGACTGATTTGATAAAGACCCAAATAGAGCTTCAAGAAATGAAAATGCATTGCAATTAAAAACTAAATGATAAGTGCTACCTTCCTCAGTCATCTGGCCCCACATACTTTGATTTGTCCTCTGGCTGTCTGTTCTCTGGGAAAAGAATGTTTTAGGAAAATAACCCGGCATGGAATAGTTCTGCTGCCATGGATCTGAGTCTCAGTGGACAGGGTATGTGCCTTTGTGGATAGTTGCAGCCTCTGGTTGGGAGTGGGAATAAAAAATGATCAAGGGCTGTGAAAGGGAGCTTTTGTGGAACTTTGAGACAGGTCAATCTTATAGTGATAATTTGGAGATGGAGCCAGGACCCTGAGAGGGAGGAAATTCCAAGGAGGATGCTGGGAAAACTTGTCTGTTTATGAAGCAGGGATGGGGTAGAGATAAGATGGGATCATTGCAAGTTGAGCTGCCGGTTCTCATGTCTTATTCAAAACCTCATGTGTAGGATTACCACTGAGTAGAGAGGAACAAATCCCTTCCCCAGGCACTGGGCCTGGTGAAGTGGCAGCATTCCTTCCCACGTGAAGCCTTTAGTAAGTGCCTTTTTTTTTTTTTCCTTCTTTTTTCCCTCTTAGGTTTGTTTTATGATGCTAAAGGGTAGAGTAGGGACAGGAGTGGTGACTGAGTTCTCTTTATCAGACCCCTCAGTGGATGCTTCTGGTAACAGACTAACTGCTTGACTTTATGTTTTATTTTCTTTATGGATGTCCAAATATATGCCCCTCTCACCTATATACCCAGCCCTCCAGGACTTGAATGGTCAGTTGGAAGTGTCTGGGTTGTGTTCATCTCTTATTTCTGGAGTAGAGGCTGAGACCTTGCCATATGTCCTTTGCATCCCTGCCTCCTTTAGGCTTTAAAGTTTGATTAATTTTTAAAAAATTTTTAAAGAGAGGTAATAAGCAGGTTAGATATAATAACTCAAGGGAGACTTAGTGAATTAAAAGGTAGATCTGAGAACATTGCCCAGAAGGTAGCAGAGAGAAAGAAATGGAAAGTGAGAGAAGTTAAAAGATATGAAGGATAGAATAAGGTTCCACACACACATACCCTCACACACAATACATACAAAGACACATATAAAATCTTACAAAGAAGAGAATGGAGAATGGGAGGAGGCAATATTCAAAGACATAATAGTTAAGAATTTTCCTGACTTGAAGACAAATACTTGAAGCTTTAGGCTTAAAAAGCACAATTAGCCCCATTGTGTATAAATAAAACAATACATAGTAGTGAAGGTGCAGAGCACAATTTTTTTTAAAAAGTCTTTAGAGCAACCAGAGAGAAAATACAGATAACCTGCAAAGGAGGACATTTATACTGACAGCTACAATAGACAGCAGAACACCGTGAAACAATATCTTGAAAGTGCCGAAAGAAAAAGGAACCAACCTAGAGTTCTACATCCATCTAAACTATCATTCAGGAGCGATGAAGAAATAAATATTTTAAACAACCTAGGGCTGTACCACTAATGGACATTCACTGAAAGAATTTTGAAAAATATATTTCAAAAACAAAGAAAATTGAACCCAGAGAAGGGAGTAAGGAGCAAAATGGAATGGTGGACAAAGATATGTGGGTAAATACAAGTAAGCATATACTGTTTAAGTAATAGTTATAATGGTATCTACTTAAGGAGTAATAAGATGGAACTAAAATATTAGGGGAAATAACATGTAAGATTGGAGGGGTGATTAGAGTGGTGATTTTTTATAGTATGCAAATTACCTCAATGAGGTTTAAAAGATTAATATATGCTACTTGGGAACAACGGTTTTTGGAGAACAGAATATACAGTCTCAGTGTCATTTGAAGTAATATGCCTTTAATTAAAATTCTTGATAATATTCTAATAGTTTTAGTTGACATGCTATAATTTCTGCATTATGAAAATAAAAGTCTTCTCATTGGATAAAAAGTAACCTAAATAATTTAGAAGGTAAAGTTGGAGAGGGTGTTGCAGGAAGTAGTCCTATTAGCTATGAATTATTTTAAAATTATAGCAATAAAGTGTGGTATTAGTGCAGGAGTAGACAGACCATTAGAATAGAATATAGAATCCAGAAATAGAACTACACATATGGAAAGGATGGATTGTTCATCAAATGGTATTGGGGTTATTGGTTGATATAGAACAAAAGTAACAGCCAAATCTTCTTTTTTTTTTAGATTTTTTTTTTTTTTTTTTTTCCCCCGAAGCCCCAGTACATAGTTGTCTGTCATAGCTGCACATCCTTCTAGTTGCTGTATGTGGGACGCGGCCTCAGCATGGCTGGAGGAGTGGTGCCTCGGTGCGCACCCGGGATCCGAACCTGGCCCGCCGGCAGCGGAGCCCACGCACTTAACTGCTAAGCCACGGGGCCGGCCCCAGCCAAATCTTCTTTTACTCAACCAAATAAATTCCTCAACAAATAAATTCCCAAATGTAGCAAACAAAACAAATTTATATTTTAAAACGGAAAAGAAAAATAAAAATTATGGCCTCAGTGTCTGAAAGAATTACTGAAGACATAAAACCCACCTACCACAAGGTAAAAGATAGATAAATTGAACTACAGTGAAATAAAAACATCTGTAAGTCAAAAGACATCATAAGCAAGGTGAAGATACAAACCACAAATTGAGAAAAGCTATTTCTAACTCACAAAACCAATAAAGGATTAATATCCGGAATGTATTAAGAACTCCTACAAATAAGATAAAGCAACAAATGATATGACTGGGCAGCTTGCAGAAGAGGAATCTCAGATAGTCTGCAAAGAAAAAAAAAAATTTCTCCCTCTTATTATTGATTCTGAAAATGTAAATTAAGCAGCAGGGTGTGATTTTACACCTATCAAATTGACAAAAGTTAATGTCTGATAATACCAATAGCTGGTGACCACGTACAGCAATGGGAACATTCATACAATGCTATTGAGAGAGTAAATTGGTACAGTCCCTTTTAAAAGCAATTTGTTGATACCAGTGAAAACTGAAGATGCCTATACCGTCTAATCTAGCAGTTCTTCTGCTAGCCATGTATCCTAATCGCTGTTCTTAATAGTTTTTTTGTGCCTCAGATCTCTTTTGAAGTCTAGGGAAGGCTAGAATAATGTTTTGTTTTAAGTCCGTATAATAAAATACATAGGATTATAATGGAAAAAATTATGTTGAAATAGTTATCAAAATTTTTTAATTTGTGTTATAGTGTGCGTAATTAGTGCATACTAATAAGATCTACTGGAAGATCTAACAGCTTTCATACTTTCAAAAGTAATTATTAGTGTAAATGATATTTTGAAATAATCCACCACCACTATTATGTGATATGAAAATTTCTAGGTCTGTTTGTGACAAAAATCACAGGTACTGCTGAATACTATTAGGTGTATATATTCCTAATTGAAGGAAATATTAAATTTCAATTCAAGGTTAATGAAAAATAAAGATTTGTTTTCACACAAGTTCACAAACCTGCATTAAAGGGGTTTGTAGACCCCAAGTTAAGAACCTGTGTCCTAGAGACACTCTTAAATGTATGTCAAAGGAGATTAACATTGCAACACAGTTGCAGTATTGTAGTGGCAAAAAATGGCGAACAGCCCATAAAGATTCATCAGTAGGAGATTATATAAATTGTTATATATTCAGACAATGAATAACTGCATAGCAGTGATAATGAAGCTGAGTTACAGTAATATGGTACATATCTTGTAATGTCTCCTTTGAATACCATCATGGGTGATCTCAAACAATATTGAGTGAAAAAAGCAAGCTTCCAAAGAATACATACTGTATAATATCATTTTATGAAATTATAACATTTCATATAAAGTATAAAAACCCATATGGGAATGGTATGTTCAAATTCAAGGGTAAGCAGTAGTGATAGGAAGGACAATCTAGTTACACAGAGGGCTTTAAATTATGTCCGTAATGTTTAATTATTTAACCATATGATGGACACATTATTTTATGCCTGGAATATTTTGTTAAAATATGTATTACATACATTGACAAAATATTAATATGACAGAGATAGTTTCAATTTTAATTTACAGGACAATTCCGAGTTTGTATATATGGGACCTTGTCAAGGGAAGAACAACTAATTTGTTGTTCCCTAATAAAAAGCACTTAATTTAGTGCTTTTCCCCAGTTCATCTCAGATAAGAAGTCAGTTAACTTAGGAAGTGCCAGGCACTTTAAACATGTGATGAAAGCATACCTAGTAGATTATTTAATTCTTACAACAGTCCTGTGAAGGTATTTATTCATAAAGGAAATTCTAATTAAAGCAAAGAGAGAACTGGAATTTATATTTAGATCTTTCTGCCTCCAAAGCCCATAATTGTTCCATGTTATTAAATTGTGTATCTCTAGCAATAAAACTTATTTTGGAAGTGGTAAGTTAACTGCATGTAAAAAACATGACTGTGTCTGAGGCACAGACAGTAAAGATACTAAATCTCAAGCGTGACTTTATAATCCAAAGTTTTCTTATTTACACTTGAACCTGTTCTCCCTCATATGACAGGCTGATGAAATTACTAGTTATTAGTAACTTCAGTGTTACAGTGTTCCTGTTTTATTTTAACACTATTAATCGTTATAATTTAGTACATGTTTAGCGTCTAAATTTAACTGTGTGACTTGGTGTTTTATTATTTTAAACCACATTTTGTTTTGATTTCTGATTTTAGGATCGAAAGTTAACAAAGTCTGAGAGGCAGAGATTTAAAGAAGAGGCTGAAATGTTAAAGGGTCTTCAGCATCCCAATATTGTTCGATTCTATGATTCCTGGGAATCCACAGTAAAGGGAAAGAAGTGCATTGTTTTGGTGACTGAACTTATGACATCTGGAACACTTAAAACGTAAGTCCATCAATATTATAAAAGCTGACCAAGAAGTATGAGAGAAGTTAAGTTTTCTTATTTTAGGCCTTATCAGTCCTGCTTTTGTTGCCCAGCATACTAAGGAGGGAACAATCTCTCCAAACATTAGTATATTAGCACATTTTCCTGCCCACAAAGTCCTCTGGTGTATAGAATGATTTTATAATTATTTATTGGTAAGTATTAAAATGAGAAGTTATTGCAGAATAAACATAGTTCTTTTAAGTCATGGTGCTTGGCGTTTCTAAAATTTATTGGCTAAGGGATGAGAATTGAGATGACAAGGTAGCCCTCTAGTGGTTAAAATGAGGTTGAAGTTGATTAAGAAGGTTGAAGCTTATTGAGAAGCTTCATCTGTTTTATCACCTTGTGTAGGGCAGTTTTTGCTGCATTTCGGCAGCTCTTGTATCAAATGCAAATTGTATTGTGAAAATTATCACTAGATAATTCCATTTCCCATAGCATCAGAAATTGAAGCAAAAACAACTAGACCTATCCTCCTTTTCGGGAATATAGACAGGTCAAATGCAGCAATTCCCTATTCCCTATTATAAAGAGTTTTTAGATAAGAGTTGAAGTATGCCTTTGGAATCCCAGGTCTCTTAGAGTATCTGTTTGTACTCAGAGAGGAAACTAGTGTAAGTTATATAGTGTAAATTTTTTATTGTGGAGGAACTGGATTTTTAAAAATTGTCTCTGTGGTGTATATTTATTCTTGATTACTTTCTTTAGTTAATACTACTGAGCTGATTAATCCCAGATCTTTGAAACATAGTCTTGTATCTCCTGGATATAGTCACTTGTATGTGCTCTTGGATTCTCAAGATTAACATGTTGAAAAGCCAACAGATTATTTCCCCCCCTGGAGATTCTAATTGCCCCACCGAACTTCACTAATATTTATGGCAACACTTTTTCTTAGTCATTTAGGCTTCTTGTTATCACGTCTGTTTCTTTCACTAGACTGTACCCTCTAGCACTGTGCCAGAAACTTGATAAATATTTGAATGAATTAAGGAGAATTGTGTGGTAGTAGTGGTGTGTATATCTGTTCAAGTTCCTAAATATTTTCATCACCTCAAAAGAATACCCTATACCCATTAAGCAGTTACTCCCCATTCCCCTTCCCACTCATTGTATTTACTCTTTAACTGCACACAATCTAAGTTCTTAGTCATTTTTCTTTTTAGGTTTAAAATTCTCTTTTCCCATCATTGTTATAGTTTCTGAGCTTCAGAGCTAAGGCGGCAAGAGGGTGTAGTGGAAAGAGTGCTAGACTTAGAGTAGGAGCCATGAGTTCTGCTCCCAGCTCTACCTCTGACCAACTGTGATTTGGAGCAAGCTGTTCCCATTCTCTGGGCCTCAGTTCTCTATGTGTAAAATAAGGGGTTGGACTAGCGGATCTCTAGGATTTATGGATTGGATGTTTTTTTCTGTGGTAAAAAACATATAAAATTTACCATCTTAATTAGTTTTAGGTGTACAGTTCAGTAATGTTAAGTACTTTCACACTGCTGTGCAACCAATCTCCAGAACTCTTCATCTTGCAAAACTAAAACCCATTAAACAATTCCCCATTCCCCTCTTGCGCCAGCCCTTGACAGCCACTGCTTTGTGTCTCTATGGATTTATCTAATCAAGATGTTTCATAGAAATGGAATCATAAAATTTGTGGCCTTTTGTGTTAGTCTTTTTTCACTTAGCATATTTTCAAGGTTCATTTTGTAGCATGTATCAGTACTTCATTTCTTTTTATGATTAAATAATATTTCGTTTTGTGGATATACCACAATTTGTTTATCCATTCATTTATTGATAGATATTTGGGCTATTTCCTTTTGGCTATAGTGAATAGTGCTGCTATGAACATTTGTGTACAAGTGTTTGAGTATCTGTTTTGATTTCTTTTGGATATATACCTATGAGTGGAATTGCTGAGTCATATGGTAATTCTATGTTTAACTTTTTGAGGAACCTCTAAACTGTTTTCCATAGTGGCTGAACCATTTTATATTCCCACCAGCAATGTATAAGGGTCCCAATTTCTCCACATCCTTGCCAACGCTTGCGTTTTTGTTTATTTGTTTGTTTTTTGTTTTTTTAGTAGTCATCCTGCTGGGTATGATGTGGTATCTCATTGTGGTTTCGATTTGCATTTCTCTAGTGAAATCATAATGAGTTCAACCAAGTGTTGAACATCTTGTTATGTGTTTTTTATATCTTTGGCCATTTATATATCTTTGGAGAAATGTCTATTCAAGTCCTTTGCCCAATTTTTAATTGGGTTATTTATCTTTTTGTTGTTGAGTTATAAGAGTTCTTTATATATTTCTACAAGCTAAACCCTTATCAGATACATGATTTTGCAAAAAAACTGTCATTTCATTTCCCAGATAATGTCCTATGATGCACAAAGTTTTTAATTTTGATGTCCAATTTATTTATTTTTTCTTGCTGCTTGTGCTTTTGGTGTTATATCTAAGAATCCATTGCCAAAACCAAGGTCATGCACATTTACCCCTATGTTTTCTTCTAAGAGTTTTATAGGGTTAGGTCTTATATTCAGGTTGTTGTTCCATTTTGAGTTAACTTTTGTGTATTTCATTCTGCTGCATGTGGTTGTCCAGTTGTCCCAGCACCATTTGTTGAAGAGACTATTCTTTCCCTATTGAATGGTCTTGGCACCTCTGTCAAAAATCATTTAATCATAGATGTATGGGTTTATTTCTGGACTCTCAATACCATTCCATTTGTCTACATATCTACTCTTATATTGTTTTGGCTATTTGGGGCCCCTTGCAATTCCATATAAATTTGAGGATTAGCTTTCCATTTCTGCAAAAAGGCTGATAGAATTTTGGTTGTATCTGTAGATATAATCAAATGTATCTGTAGATACATTGAATCCGTAGGTCACTGTAGGTAATATTGCCATCTTCACTATATTAAGTGTTCCAATCCATGAACATGAGATGTCTTCATTTTATTTAAGCCTGCTTTCATTTCTTTCAACAGTGTTTTCTAGTTTTCAGTCATAAATCTTTCACTTCCTTGTTTAAATTTATTCCTGGGTATTTTATTCTTTTAGATGCTGTTGCAAATATAATTGTTTTTTTAATTTCCTTTTCAAATTGTTAATTGTTGGTGTATACAACACAACTGATTTGTGTGTGTTGATCTTGTACTCTTGCAACTTTGCTGAGTTCTTTTATTAACTCTGGGGGGTGTGGGTGTATATTCTTTGGGATTTTCTATGTATAGGATCATGTCATCTTCAAATAGAGATAGTTTTACTTCTGCCTTTCCAATTTGGACACCTTAATTTCTTTTTCTTGCCTAATTACACTGGCTAGAATTTCTAGTACAATGTTGAATAGCATTCGTTATCCTTGTTGTATTCCTAATCTTAATGGAAAAGCTTTCAATGTTTCACCATTGAGTATGATGTTAGCTGTGGGTTTTTCACAAATGCTCTTTATCATATTGAATATATTCTCTACTATTCCTAGTTTGAGTATTTTCATCATGGAAAGGTGTTGGATTTTGTCTAATGCTTTTTCCACATCAAGTGAGATGATCATTTTTTTCCCTTTGTTTTATTAATGTGGTGTATTATGTTGATTGATTTTCTTAACAACTGCTCTTGCATTTCATGGATAAATCCCACTTGGTCATGGTTTATAATCCTTTTACTTTTATAATTCTTTTACTATGCTGTTGGATTCAGTTAGCTAATATTTTGTTGAGGATTTTTGCATCTATATTTGTAAGAAACATTGGTATGTAGTTTTCTTTTCTTGTGATGTCTTGGGTATCAGGGCAATACTGGCCTCATAGAATGACTTATGAAGCATTTCCTCCTTTTCTACTTTTTGGAAGAGTTGGAGAAGAATTAGTGTTAATTCTTCTTTAAATGTTTGGTAGAACTCACCACTGAAGCCATTTAGTCCTGGCCTTTTCTTTGTTGGGAGGTTTCTTGAGGAAATGTTCCATGTGCACTTGAGAAGAATATGTATTCAGCTGTTGTTGGGTGTCATGCACCATATATTTCTGTTAGGTCTAAGTGGTTTATAGTGTTGTTCAAATCCTCTGTAACCTTAATTATCTTCCCTCTATGTGTTCTATCCATTATTGAAAGTGGGTTATTGAAGTCTCCAACTATTACTACAGAACTATATATTCCTCCCTTCAGTTCTGTCAATATTTGTTTCATGTATTTGGGTGCTCTGTTGTTTGATGTGTATATGTTTATAATTGTTATATCTTCTTGATTAATGGACCCTTTTATCAATATATGATATTCTTTATCTCTTGTATCAGTTTTTGACTTAGTCTGTTTTGTCTGATATTAATATAGCCACCTCACCCTCCTCTGGTTATTATTTGCATGGACTGTCTTTCTCTGTTTTTTCATTTTCAACCTACGTGGGTCCTTGGCTCTAAAGTGAGTCTCTTGTAGACAGCGCATATATATATATATATATATTTCTATCCTACTGTCTTTTGATTAAAGAGCTTAATCCATTTATATTTGAAGTAATTAGTGATAAGGAAGCCCTTCTGCCATTTTGCTATTTGCTTTTTGTATTTCTCAATACCTTTTTTGTTCCTCATCTCCTCCATTACTGTTTTCTTTTATATTTAATTGATTTTTGTAGTGTGCCATTTTGATTTCCCATTTCCTTTGTGTATATTTTTAGATATTTTCGTATTGGTTACCTTGGGGATTACAATTAATATCATAAATTTCTAACAGTCTAGTTTGAATTGATACCAACTTAGCTGCAATAACCTTCAAAATCTGTGCTCCTGTACAGCTTTGCCTTCCTCATGTTTTCATTGTCACACATTACATCTTTGTACGTTGTGTTCCCATTAATGCAGATTTATAATTATTATTTTATGCATTTGTCTTTTAAATCATGTAGGAAATGAACAGAGAAGTTACAAACTAAAAATATATTGATGCTGGCTTTTATATTTAGCTATGTAGTTACCTTTACCAGAGACTTTATTTCTTTTTATGGCTTCAAGTTACTGTCTAGTGTTCTTTCATTTTAGCCTGAAGAACTTGCTTTAGCATTTCTTGTAGGGCACATGTACTAATAACGAACTCTCTCGGCTTTTGTTTATCTGGGAATGTCTTGAATTTCATCTTCATTTTTGAAGAATAATTTTGCTGAATATAAAATTCTTGGTTGACAGGGTTTTTTTCTTTCAGCACTTTAAATATGTCATTCCTCTGCCTTCTCGCCTCCATGGTTTCTGCTGAGAAATTGGCTGATGAGCTTATTGAGGATTTCTCTTGGTCTGACAAGTTGCTTCTCTCTTGCTGCTTTCAAGATTCTCTCTGTCTTTGTCTTTCAACAGTTTGAATGTAATGTGTCTCATTGTGAATTCCATTGAATTTATCTTTATTGGAGTTTGTTAAGCTTCTTGGATGTGTAGATTCATGTCTTTTATCAAATTTGGAAAGTTTTTGGTCATTATTTTATCAAATATTCTTTCTGCTCCTTTCTCTCATTTTACTTGGGATTCCCTTTATGTGTATGTAGATCAGCTTGGTGTGGTATCTCACAGGTCTCATAGACTCTTTTGATTTTTCTTTACTCTTTTTTCTTTCTGTTCCTCAGACTGTATAATTGCAATTGACCTGTCTTCAGGTTTGCAGCTTCTTTCTTTTGCGTCTTCAAATGTGCTGTTAAAACCCTTTAGTGAATTTTTTATTTCAGTTATTATATTTTTCAGCTCCAAAATTTCCATTTGGTTCCTTTTTGTAATTTCTCTCTGTTTATTAATATTCTATGTTTATTGAGCTATCATTTCCTATGCTGTAATATTGTGCAGCCATTGTTGTTAGCATTTAATCTTCCAATTTTGTGGATTAGGTACTATAATTACCCCCACTTAATCACAAGTTGTCAGTTTATATTAAATATTTTAGCACTGAAAAGCTGATGAGGAGCTATGGTTATAGTGGTGGGTCTTTTCAACTACTTAGGCTTTTCTTCAAAGTGCTTGTACATGAGTCAGCTGTAATGAAGGACTTGGAAATGCTGTATCAGGGAGATCATTCGTTCATTTGTATGTAATATATATAGTAATTAGTTAATTATGTCTTTTCTGCATTGATATTGCTTGGTTGTCATTTTCCTTGTTTGGTTGTGGTGGGTTTTAACTAATATTCCTATTTTTAGCACCACTTATTATTCTCACCATATTTAGCTTCTCTGACTTTGCAAATGTCCCATTTGTGGTTGTATGGGGCAAATTGGATCTCTTCTTGTCCACATTCTCTTCTTACAAACAATGCCACAGTAATCATGCCTATACCTGTGTCTTTATTTTTTTCTGTAGATTAGGGGTTCTAAAAGTGAAATGTGAGTCAAAGTATGTGTGTAATTTTGTGTGTGTGTGTGTGTGTGTGTGAGGAATATCAGCCCTGAGCTAACATCCATGCCAATCCTCCTCTTTTTGCTGAGGAAGACTGGCCCTGGGCTAACATCTGTGCCTATCTTCCTCCACGTTATATGGGACACCACCAGAGCATGGCCTAGACAAGTGGTGCATCAGTGCGCGCCCGGGATCCGAACCCAGGCCACCAGCAGCCAGGCGCACGCACTTAACCGCTATGCCACAGGGCCAGCCCCTATATTATTTTCAATTAAAAAAATTTTTTTGGTTGAAGTATAATTGGCATACAACATTATATTAGTTTCAGGTGTACAACATAATGATTTGATATTTGTATATATTGTGGAATGATCACTGCAATCACCTGTCACCATACATAGTTTCAGAATTTTTTTCCCGTGTGATGAGAACTTTTAAGATCTGCTCTTTTAGCAACTTTCAAATATATGCAGTAAAGTATTATTAACTATAGTCACCATGTTACACATTGCATCTCCATGACTTGTTTATTTCATAATTGGAAGTTTGTACCTTTTGATCCCCTTCACCCATTTCGTCCACCTCCCACCCCCACCTCTGGCAACCACCAATCTGTCCTCTAGATCTATGAGTTTTGGGTTTTTTGTTCTTTTTTAGATTCCACATATAAATGAGATCATACCGTATTTGTCTTTCTCTGTCTATTTCACTTAACATAGTACCCTCAAGGTCCATCCATGTTGTCGCAAATGGTAAGATCTCCCTCTTTTTTATGACTGAATAATATTCTGTTGTGTGTATATATATATCTATATACAAGAGAGATTTGAATGCATGGCAAAAGATTAGTTTCTGCTTTAATTAAGGGTAGTAGGGAACCATTGGAAAGGTTTTGATCATGATCTAGCAGTGTTACAATGCATTGAATAATTCAGAAAACAGTTGAGTACCTACGATGTGCCAGGGACTATATTAGCATTCCTTTATAAAGACTTATCTGATGGTAGTATACATAACAGCTTTAGAGGTAGAGTTGCTAGTCAGGCAGTAGCAGTAGCCCAAGCTTAAGAATTCAGTTGCCATCTCTGTCTTGTAATAGTTGTGTTACCTTGGGCTCAATATCCTCATCAATAGAAAGAAAAACTTAATACTCTCCACCAAAAGTGGAAGTGACTTTGGTTATTAGCATTGCTTGAAATGTATGCCATATCAAATATTTTACAATCCAGCGTGTTTAAAATTGGACTTCATGATAATTTGAAACTTTTGTGCATCAGAAGATATTATCAACAGTAAAAAGGCAACCCACAGAATGGGAGAAAATATTTGCAAATCATATAACTCAAAAGGGATTAATATCTAGAATGTATAGAAGGGATTAATATCTAGAATGTATAGAGAACTCCCAAAACTCAACAACATAAAAGTAAAAAGCCCAATTCAAAAATGGACAAAGGACTTGAACAGACCTTTCTCCAGAGAAGATATACAAATGGCGAATACACATGAAAAGATGCTCACCATCACTAGTCATTAGGGAAACACAAATCAAAACCACAATGAGATACCACCTCATGACTGTTAGAATGGCTGTTATCAAAAAGACAGGAAATAACAAGTGTGGTGGTGAAGATGTGGAGAAAAGGGAACCATTGTGCACTGTTGGTGGGAATGTAAATTGGTGTAGCCACTAGGGAAAGCAGTCTGGAAAAAATTAAAATTAGAACTACCATATGATCCAGCAGTTCTACTTCTGGGTGTTTATCCTGAAGGATATGAAAATACTAACTCAAAAAGGTATATGTACTCCCGTGTTCATAGCAGCGTTATTTACAATAGCCAAGACATGGAAGTAACCTAAGTGTCCATCACTGGATGAGTGGATAAAGAAATTAAGGTATGTGTATATATATACATGGAATATTATTCAGCCATAAAAAAGAAGGAAATCTTGCCATTTGGAACCATGTGGATGGACCTTGAGGGTATTATGCTAAGTGAAATAAGTCAGACAGACAAAGACAAATACTGTATGATCTCACTTATATGTGGAATCTTTTAAGAGAAAAAACAAGGTCATAGATACAGAGAGTAGATTGGTGGTTGCCAGAGGTGGGCGGTGAGTGAAATGGGTGAAGGTAGTCAAAAGGTACAAACTTCTAGTTATAAAATAAATAAGTCCTGGGGATGTAATGTACAGCATGGTGACTATAGTTAATAATACTGTATTTTATATTTGAAAGTTAGTTAGAGAAGATATCTTAAAAGTTCTCATCATAAGAAAAAAAATTTATAACTGTCTGCCAATGGATGTTAACTAGACTTTTTGTGGTCATCATTTTGCAATATATACAAATTTCGAATCACTATGTTGTACATCTGAAACTAATATGTCAATTATATCTCAATTAAAAAAATAGAATTACCATATGATCCAACAGTTCCACTTGTGAGTCTATGTACACCCGAAAGAACTGAAAGCAGGGTCTCAAAGAGATATTTGTATACCCGTGTTCATAGCAGCATTATTCACAATAGCTAAAAGGTAGATGCAACCCACATGTCCATCAGTGGAAGAATGGATAAGCAAAATGTGATATATATGTACAGTGGAATATTTTTCAGCCTTAAAAGGGAAGGAAATTCTAACACATGCTACACCATGAATGAACCTTGAGGACAATATTGCTAAGTGAAATAAGCCAGTCACAAAAGGACAAATACTATATGATTCCACTATATATGAGGAACCTAGAGTTGTCAAATTCATAGAGACAGAAAGTAGAATGGTGGTTGCCAGGGCCTGAGGGGAAGGGGGAATAGGGAGTTATTATTTAGTGGGTATGGAGGTTCAGTTTTGCAAGATGAAAAGAGTTCTGGAGATGGATGGTGGGGATGATTGCACAATAATATGAATATACTTAATACCACTTAAAAATGGTAGATTTTGCATTATATGTATTTTATCGTAATTTAAAAAATGGGAAAATCCAATCTGTTGAATTTTCTCAAAAAATAGAGGCAGAAGAATCAGTGCTAGTTCATTTTATGAAGCCAACATAACACTAATACCAAAACCTAAGATATTATAGCAAAAGAAATTTATAGAGCAATGTCCATCATGAATATAGGTACAAAAATCCTTTAAAAATAATAGCAAATTGAAGCCAACAATCACAATACATCAGTACCAAATAGGGTTTATCCCAGAATCTCAGAGTTGGTTTAACATTGAATAAGTCAATATTATTCACAATAACAGAATAAAAGAGAAAAACCATATGATGATCTCAATATATATGGAAAAAGCATTTGACAATTTAACATCTATTATGAGTAAAAACTCTTAGCAAACTAGGAATAGTAGGGAACTTCCTCAAACTGATAAAGAACATCCATGAAAAAGCTATAGCTAATAGCATCATACCTGCTGTTTTCCCTTGAGATTAGGAACAAAGCAAGGATGTCTGTTTTTACCGCTTGCATTTGGTATTGTTCTAGAGGGCCCACCCATTGCAATAAGGCTTAAAAAATGGGAAAACTAGTAAAAGACATTAAGGTTGGAAAGGAAGGAATAAAACTGCCCTTGTTTGCAGATTATGTAATCGTTTACATAGAAAATTTCAGTGATTCTAAACAAATTTAGTAAGGTTAATATGCAGTAATATTATTATATTTTATGTACTTCATCATTTTATAGATGTGAAAGTGATACAAGCCAGCCTCAACTTTTTCCCAACATTTTATTATAAAAATTTTCAATTATACAGGGGCCGGCCCGGTGGCGCAAGTAGTAAGTGCGTGCGCTCCACTGCGGCGGCCTGGGGTTCACCGGTTCGGATCCTGGGCATGCACCGCTTGGAAAGCCATGCTGTGGTGGTGTCCCATATAAAGTGGAGGAAGATGGGCACGGATGTTAGCCCAGGGCCAGTCTTCTTCAGCAAAAAAACAAAAAAAAAAGGAGGATTGGCAGATGTTAGCACAGAGCTGATCTTCCTTACAAAAAATAATAATAATAATAATTTTCAATTATACAGAAAAGTTGAAAGAATTATACAGTGAACACACACATCCTCACTAGCTAGATTCTATAATTTACTAAACTTTTGCTACATTTGCTTTATCACATATGTCCATCTAATCATCCATTTATCAATCTATCTTAATTTTATTCATTCTAAAATAAGTTGCAGGGGCTGGCCAGATGGCGTAGCAGTTAAGTTCAAATGCTCCACATTAGTGGCCCGGCATTTGCTTATTCAGATCCTGGGTGTGCACCTACACACTGCTCATGAAGCCATGCTGAGGCAGCGTCCCACATAGAGCAACTAGAAGGATGTATAACTATGACATACAACTATCTACTGGGGCTTTGGGGAGAAAAAAGGAAGAAAAAAGGAGGAAGATGGGCAACAGATGTTAGCTCAGGACCAGTCTTCCGCAAAAAAAAAATAAAAAGATAAAATAACATGCAGACATCAGTATGCTTCACCTGTAAACACTTCAGTATGCATTTCTATGAAGTTCCGGTATTTTTATGCTTTGTTTTTCCTTCCAGTAAAATTTACATATGGTAAAAAGTATAAATCATAATTGTATCATTCAGTGAGTTTTGACAAAGTCATTCACTCACGTAATCAAAACTGTTAAGATATATAACACTTCCATCATCTCAGTAAATGCCCTCATGCCTTTTCCTAGGCAGTCTTTCCTTCACCCTCCAGAGGTAACTATGTTTGGATTTTTTTTTAAACCATAACCCAACTTTCACCATTAGTTTTCTTTAATTACCCCACCCAAATGAAGTAGAATTTCATTTTAGTTCCTGTATTAGCTTTGTACTTAAACCTCTTTGTTTTGTTTTGTTTTTAAGCTGTTGCTCTAGAGATTGCATTTAACTTTTTTTTTTTTACACGCTTAGGATTGATACCATACAGTTTCATGTAAAATAAAGAAACCCTGCACAAATATAGTTCCATTTATCCCTAATACTTGTTCTTTATGCTGTAGTTTTCATATATGTTACATTTATATATATTATAGACCCTATAATACAATGTTAGAAATTTTCCTGTAAATAGTCATATGTATTTTAAAGTTAGAGGAAAATGTAATCTTTTATATTTACCATTTTAAGTGTTCTTCATTTTTTTTCTGATTATTTCCAGGTAAAATATGCATCTGAACTCAATCCCCAAACTTTATTTTCCTTGCAGTGGGTAGCATCAGAAATCTCTGTTCTGTTCTTTTAGCATTAGCTGGTGCTACTTGGAATCTGCCCCACATGTACATATCTTAGAGGTCAACCAGAGATTTGGGCAAAGTAAATTTGCAGAATTTGGGGCTCCCCTTGCACATCTCCTTTCTGGGATTTCCCTCCTTCACTTTCTAGATTTCTGCTGTCCAAGAGAACTTTCTGTGGTGATGGAAATGTTCTATAATCTGCACTGTCTGAAATGGTAGCCACCTGCCCCAGGCGGCTGTCGAGCACTTGAAATGTGGCTAGTGCGGCTGGGAAATGGAATTTTTTATTTTAATTAATCTACATTTAAATATAAATATTCACGTTTGTCTAGTGGATACTGTATTGGACAGA